GGTTTGGTCATCATCCTTTAACCATATCAACTCAGGGAATGACAATTACATATCATTAGAAAGCTACCAAAGAGGTCTTAAGGGGGCACTGGATCCCCTGGAACTGGAGTTAGTTCCGGACGGTTGTTAGGCACCATGTGGATGCTGGAAATTGATCCCAGGTCCTCTGCAAGAGCGGCCAGTGCTCTTAACCACTTGAGCCTACTCCCCGGTCCCAATCTTACTTATTTTTAATTCTTACACTTTACATGTAGACCACGCATGCTGCACACTATGGACATGCTAAGTAATGCCTGCAAGTGCAATAATGGCTCAACTAACATACATACAGCTGACAAATTTCTAATTGGCTAAGGCTGGCTCCTAGGGGTAGAACACACATCTGGTGCTGTAGACCAGGCCAACCCCCTGTGTCGAGAAAGGCTACAGGCCCCAGTGGGGAAGCCATTACAAGTATACTGTTTAATGAATAGAGCACACCTACTGGGGTATCTTCTAGGCATCTGTATTTACATTCATGTTTATTTAAATGTGTCTACTTCCCTCCATTTGTCTTTACAGTAGAAGAAACACCACTGAGATGGATCAGTGGCCACATCCTGAAGACAAATGATGGGGAAGCCCAAGAAGTCACTATCTCACCACGATGCAAGAGAGATCACCCTACACCTGTCACCCCCTCCAAGGTTCAGGGACCTTAGCGGAAGATTGGCAGAAAGATTGTAAGAGCTGGAGGAAGGGGTAGAGTGTGTCCCAAGGGGCTCTTGTTCCTCCAAGGGGCAGGGTCTGCTGTTGAGAACTGGCTGCAGAGAACTAGCTACTGAGAGGGAGCTGCAGAAAGTTAGCCTCAGAGGGAGGAGCGTTGGCTCCGTCTTGGACTTGGAAGCGGGTGGCGCAGAAAAGATGGCCCGGTGTCTTGCCCACATGGATGCGAGAAGGGGTTACAGGTGGAGGAGGCATGGGCGAAAGCTAATGGAGACTGTGGGCGGGGCACAGAAGGGATCTGGAGCTGCCGGCTGCTGAGCCACAGATCGGAACGGGGTACTGGGTGTTCGCCTTTGTAAGTTACCCTGTTTCCCCTACCCAGGATATAAACTATGAAAAACTCAGATAAAGCTGTGTTATATGGTTTGTCTAATGGTGCCAGGAGCAAGGGGCCCTGAGAGAGCTCGGGCGACAACACCCAACCCTCTTTTATTTATTTTATGTGCATTTGTATATTGTGTGTGTGTGTGTGTGTGTGTGTGTGTGTGTGTGTGTGTGTAGGCACATATGTGGAGGTCAGAGATCAATCTGTGGGAGATGAGTCTCTCCTTTCTCCATGTAGATTTGGGGAATCAAACTCAGGTTGTCAGGCTTGGTGGCAAGTACCTTAACCTGCTGAGCCATGTCACTGGGCCCTTTAATATGTTTTAAAAGAATCATGTGTTCTCTGTGGGGTTCCTGCCCACCTATTCATTCTCCCTCCCTCTGTGCCTCCCTTGCTTGGGTTCTAACCGTGCTTGGAACCTGTTCCTGCCATAGGAGCAGAACTTGGGCATCCTCAAAGGCAGGGGCCCCAGCCCTTCCTCACACCCCAGCTCTCCCACCTCTCCCTCCACAGACACTGTGACTGGATTAGCAGTTGGTCTGGGGATCCGAAGCCAATGTGCAGGACCCACTCCTCAAAACATCCCCACCTGGTCATGTGCCCAGACCACATGTACTACCCTCTGATGGCACCAGTCTTTATTTCCTTCCTTCCTTTCTTCCTTCCTTTTTTTAAGGTTTATATCTATGAGGCTGGCGAGGTGGCTCAGTGGTTAAAGAGTACTGGCAGTTCTTGCAGAGGACCCCAGGTTTGGTTCTCAGCACCTACATGGCAGCTACTAACCATCCATACTCCAGTTCCAGGAGATCCAACGCCTTCTTCTGACCTCCATGAGCATTGTACAACACGGGTGCACTTACACACATGCAGAAACTACACTCATACACATAAAAATAAAAATAAAATATTTTTAAATAATTAAAAAATTATAAAAATAAATAAGTTTATATTTAATTTTTAGTCCTGTGTATGTGTGTTTGCCTGCATGTCTGAATGTGTACCCACTCATGCATGTGTGCAACTCCTGAAGAGGCCAGAGAGGTGGAGTTAGGGACAGTTATGAGCCACCCAGTGCAGGTGCTAGGAACTGAACCCAGGTCCTCTGCAAGAACAGCGAGTGCTCTTATCAGCTGAGCCACCTCTGCAGTGCAGTAGCACCCTTCTGTTTCTCCCCCCAGGCATACTCCTACCTGTACTTCAGGACCCTGTTCAAATGCTGCCTCCTCTGGGAAGCCTTCCAATACCATTCTTGAGTTCTCCCGCCCAACACTCCCTCTTTGTCTTAATTGGTTCTGCATTGGAGCCTGTATCAATCAATGTCCCCACCAGACTTGGAGTTCCTTAGAGGCAGAAACTGCTTGTATTTATCTGAGTCCCAGGATCCCACCCAGCATCCAGAACATTGCAGGTGCCTCTGGTCTCCTGCCACTGTCGCAAAGCTGTAACAGGGAGGGAGACAGGCTACAGTGTGACACACCTGGACATAAGTTCCTTAAATAACAGACTGCTTAAGTCTTATTTCAGGGAAAGCGTCTAGAATCCACCCAAGGACTGCCTGAAACTGGCTTTTCAAGAATGGATGTGTAGGACTGGGCGTGTGGCTCAGTGGTAGAGCACTTTCCTAGCACACACAAGACCCTGGGTGCATCCGCAGGACTATAGGTAAAAATAGGTGTGGCAGCAGTCACCTGAAATCCCAGCACAGGCAAGAGAATTACAGTTTCAAGGCTAGCCTGGGCTACAGAGTGAAGCTGTCCAAAAATAAAGAAAAAGAAATAAATAAAAGTAAAAATGACTATGTGGCTAGAGAGATAGCTCAGCAGTTAGAGCACTGACTGCTCTTGCAGAAGACCAGAGTTTGGCTCCCAACACCCACATCAGGTGGCTCACAACTGCCTGTTACTCCAGCTCCAAGGAATCTGGAACCTTCTTCTGGTCTCTGTGGGCACCTACACTCACATGTGCACACATACACACATATAGATACACACACATGAATGAAAATAAGTGTTCTTAAAGTGACTAGTAAAGATAAT